TCCAACCTTCCTTCCAAGTGACTTTCTTCTTCCAAAAGCCCGGATCGTGATGGTGCTCATGGTGCTCATGATGATGATCGTGCACTTCATGTACTTCGTGGTGAGCATCGTGATCCCAGCCGATGCGTTGCTGGGCGACGGTGACGCTGCTCGCTTGCGATTCGGCGGTTTGTTGATCGATCAACGCCTTGCCGGCGACAAGTGTGAGGAGGGAGAGCGTGCCGAGGGCACAAAACTGTGAAGGAGAAAGAGAAAAGAGAGAAAGTGTGAAAGAGATCGTTATATGAGCACGAAAAAATAATAAGGAAAATTTTTTAGTAAAAAATTGACGCAACATACATACATACATATGTATTTGAAAACGTCCTAGCTCAGTTATATGAATTAGATGATAATATTTATGAAGCCACTTTTAAAGTAGTGACGCAATAAAATTTCTCAAAATGGGATCAAGATTGCAATGTAAATTTCCTTTTTGACAAATTTTGTAATTTATCTGTATAAACCCATAGCTGGAAATAGTTAAGGAATGGATAATTATCGAAATCCGGCCAAATTCATTTCTATGTATAGTATTCGAGAAAAATAAACAAAGAGCAATCAAAACATGGTGCACCAGTGGCTAAAGAGGTCATTGTCTGACTCAGCTAATGATTGAGGTCACTGCGGAGTTTAGCGCAGACTGTTGATGCTGATAATGCCGGGTTTTGACTGCAGAGACATAACAAAATGATTGCGTGCAGGTAAAATGATGTAATTTCTTTAAAAGGTAATTAATATATTAAAAAATGGCAGAAAAGGTACGGCGTAGGTGGCCGTTGGGCCAGCAGTAAGGAGAAGAGCAAAACAAAAATGAAAAAGAGCTAAAATAAAAAAAATAGGTTATGGTTATTACTACTTTCATAACATTTTAATGGGTTTAATATGTAAATTAAAAATAAAATACAAATATATGCAGAAATTAGATAACAAAAGTGAAGGTCATACTGTTCCGGCAAAAAATAGTTTTCGTATGCTATGTGTAAATACATAGATACAAATGTCTATACGCATCAAAAGAAGAAATGGAGTAAAATTTGCATTGAAATGTAGTGGTAATTACCACATATATATTTCAAAAAACGAGAGACGAATTGTTTTGTAGTCCAAATTTGGTTACTTACATACATACATATATAGCAAAGTGTATTTTTTTTTCCAAATTGTAAACATTCAAAACAGAAGATATAGAGATTTATGTGGGGACCTCATGAAATTTTCTCAAATTCATATATTTTTTGCAAATTAAGCCATATATTTTTAGGGATTTCTCTAATGACAAACTACGTAAATCATATATGGAAATGTGTAGCTCAAACCCCGTAAAACTTGCGTAAAAGAAGCCGCGAATTTTTAAACCGCCTTTCGAGCTATGAAGCGCAGCCAAATTAGATTTAGGTGTTGGTTTTGAAAACACATTAAAACCAGGTCTAAGCAAAGATAACAAACATTGCCGTTCTCACGACAGTCGGGTCTATGTAATCGGAACGATCCGGATTTATAGCTGGCCAATCACTGCCACTCCAGCATTATTTCCAAAAAACTCTTTAGGTAATATATATGCTGGTACAACAACAACAACAACACTGTGGGTAATATGGAGCAAAATAAAAAAAATTCTCATACAAAAAATTTGATTTTAGGGAATTTTCGGAGCGCGTTGTAGACCCCTAAAAATGGTTTTGTTTAAAAATATTTTTTACATAAAATTAGTCGGGAAATCCATATAGCCCATTTTCGAAAATACTAGATTAAAAAAGTAAAACAAATTATAAGGGCATTTCCAATACCTGTTTGCCCTTGTAAACTAAAAACTTTATTTTTAATATTTTTTATTGAGCTTTGTACCACGATTGTTTATTAGGAAAAATTGAAAAAGCAACAAAGTCTAAGCGGTAGAAGTTATAGCACTATTTCGGAGATCACCACATCTCCTCATCAGACTTCTTTTT